AGGTAGGTAGGGAGAGAGAGAGAGAGTAGATAGGTAGGTAGATGTTTCCAGGTGTATTTATCCATGTGCTGGAGAGGGAAATTGATGGCGTTCTGCAGCACCTAAGACTTTGTTTCTGCTGGCACAGCACTTGATCAATCTAATTCTCATCAATCAGTTAAAGAGCTTTCCAAAAGGGGAAAAATAGTTTTTGCATGCTGCAAACTGGATACTCAGAATTCTAGAACCGTCTGAAAATAAGGGTGTTTTGGAGAATGGTTATTCAAACCAAACAAAGAAAGGTTTGATTTTTCTTATTATAAGCTGAGATTCCAAAAAACATTATTTGGCATACCAAGACAGAATGCAGGTGAAGGCTTAATGGCTCTTGGGCTCTCAGACCAAATTCGCTTCACTGGGAATATCTTCGTTTATTTATTGTTTTGCTCAAATTTGAGCCAGTCTGTTACTAACTATATGCTTATGTAATTCTTATGAAACATTAGCCTGAAATGCTACTTTGTTCAATTTTAGGAAAAGAACTCATTTCTCAACTATAACGTTTCTTGCATCCTGACAATGCCTCAGTACATGAGGCAGGGTTATGGCAAAATGCTTATTGATTTCAGTAAGTATATTTACTTATATATATATATGTTAACAGTGCTATAGATAATAATATTAGCCAGTGACAACTAATAATAAACAGAGGCAGTGCTTGACCTACAACCATTTGTCCACTAACCATTTGAAATTATAACAATGCTGAATGAATTGGTAGTTATAACTGGTCCTTGGAGTTCCAGCCATCCCAGCAGTCCCACGATCACGTGATCATAATCTGGTCTCTTTCAGTCCATTGACACTTAAGTTTGCAACCTTCCCAGCTGGCATTCCAAAAAGTCAACAGGGAAGGCTGCAAATTGCTGGCTTAAGTCTTCCCTGCCAGCTCCCCACCTTCCCCATCTCCTCTGCATTTACACCGTCCACTTGTGCACCTATCCCAAAAAGCATGACTCCTCTAATACATCTTTCCTAATCCACTTAGTGCTGCTCATACTCCCCCTTTTTTGTTTCAAACTCCAAATAAAAATGCTGCACTTAAAACCTTTGATCCTTCCATGTTTGTTGCTGTTGTGGCTTGCCAGCTGCCAGTGGAGCTGGTGGCAGACTTGGACGATGAGGAGATTGGGGAGGAACTTGGGCCAGTTCTGGAGTCTGAGGAAGAGACTGATGGATGCTATGCGTCAGACGCAGAGATAGAGTCAGGGCTGTCCAATATTTCCCAGCCACCGGAGACGCAGCTGCCTTTGGAGGCTGAGATAAGTGAGGAAGAAGAACAGCTGGGGCCTGTTCCAGATGCACGTATGCGCAGAGCAGTTAGGAGAGGTGAAAAACGGAGGAAAAGGAGTTGACTCGGGAAGAAAGCACATGTGGCTGCTGAATCGCCCCTTCCTGGCTGGGGAATAAATAGAAAGAAAGAGTAGTGGTTGTTGTAGGAGACAATGGTTCGTATTTCTGAAGATTTTGCTCATTATATTTCGTGAATCAAAAACTGCTTGCCAGAACTTAATTTGCAGCTTTTCGGCTGGGAGCTCACGGCCTTGCAATTATTGCAAGGAACTGATAACGTCTGTTGCTGCATTTAATTGTTTGCAGGACTCTTGCTTGGACTTTTTGGTAGGTGAATGCCATTAATTCCTAAGAGGTAAATAAAGAGGGGGTTTTCGTGACAAGGAGTCTGTATTTTGCTTCTAAGGCCGAGTCAGATCAGTTGCATGAATTCAAAATGGCTTGAGGACTTTGGCCACTAGTTTCTTGTTCCCTTGTTTTTCACTATGAACACATGAGAATAAATGGTGGTAGCCCATGCTACCTGCTACTAAGAATCCAGTGAGATTTGAAAGACATTTTTGATTTTTTTAAAAATGTAAGATAAATGGAAATAATGTCAGATTGAATCAGATCTCAGCAGAGAAACTTGATCTTTGCTTACTTAAATAACAGCTCTGAGTTACTGAGCCAAAATAGAAGATACAGGTATCTAGTTGCTCACATAAGACATTGTAAAGGCTGTTGTGTTACTCTATAGTAACTAAAAATTAGGAGGACTGTTGTAGCACTTTTTCTAATAAATAAATAGTCATTGAAAGCCCTAAGCTTTTATGAACTACTGCTCTGTTGGTTGCATACTTATTTCTGTTAATGCAACTTGTTGATCTGAAAGGTACTACCAGATTCCCCCGAGTTTTTGTTGATACTTTTTTCCCCATTAGCACCAATGGGAATTAATAGGTACTTAATAGTTTGTCCTGCCATTTTCAGCTCAGAACACTGCACTCAAATATTTTGCACATCCCTGGTGAGTACCAGAAAATGTGACAGCAGCCTCACAAGTAATTGCTGGACTAGACTTATTTGCTGTAACAACAAAATGAGACAGCTCTCAGATTTTAAAGGTCATATCTTTTGTATGCTGAAGAATTCTCTATAACTATCTAAACTTTGTAAAGCAATAAATAAATAACCCAGAAGGAATTTAGCTAATAGGAACTTATACAATGCTACCTATAATGGAGGTCTAAACCTACTGCTTAGAAATTTTGGCAACAATATCTTAATACATTTGGATCCTATGAGAAGTATGGTTTAAAGAAATCTAGTCAGGCAGATTGAATCAATCCCAAATCATATCAGATTCAGAGCTGTTTGAAGTATAACATTTTGATGTGTCAAAAGATTTACAAAGAAGAATTCTTACCTCTTTTTAGTAGGGATATAATACCATATTGTGCTACAGATTGTGCATTAGATTTCTAATTTGCTGCCAAGTCTTTATAATAGTAATAACATGATGAATATTCTAATGCAGCCTTCCATATTTACTCCCAACTTGATAGATTGGGTAGCAATTTCTATACAGCAAATTGGGTTTTGCTCAATGGGAGAATTTCAGATAGGAGGTTGCTAACTTGTCCCAGACAATGTTACGTTTTGAACCAGTTTAAAATTTGCCTTGTGCAGTTGCATTTTATTTCATTTGTGCACTGAATTCAAGAAATTTGAATTTTGGTGTAGTTTGTCCATCACAAAGTATTTGAGCTCTTCAATAATGGGTTTACAAATCCATGTATGGAACTGTGGTGGAAATAGTCTAAAATATCTCTAAGAGCAATTTGCAAAACTGTATGTGTGCTCTCTAAACAGGCTATTTACTCTCCAAAGTGGAAGAGAAAGTTGGCTCTCCAGAAAGGCCCCTCTCAGACTTGGGACTTATTAGCTACCGTAGTTACTGGAAGGAGGTTCTTCTCCGTTATCTGCATAATTTCCAAGGCAAAGAAATCTCCATCAAAGGTGGGTTCTACTTTTCTTCACTCTCTTTCCTTAAATTCTAACTCTCACTTCACTGTGGCCACATGGAGCAATTTTTCTCAATTTACTTTTATCGGGAATGTCTTTCTTACCACATTGCAAAAAAAGAGAGATTTTAAAATAAATAAAATGTAAGAACCTATTGAGGAATAGGTCAAGGTGTCCAGAGATTAAAAAGTCTGATAATCTCTCATTTATTTTTCATTGCTGCTTTACCCTAGATGCTGTCTCCCCCATTCTCTATCCTTAGTTTTTATGAATTCCAAAATAGTCTGGAATCTAAATGGAGAATAAATAAATGCATGCTTCAAAACACAAATGTCTTGAAACAGTTCCAGCCCAGTTACTTCAATCTATTTTTCTTCTTGTAGGAGGAAAACATGTGAAATGCCTCCTAACAATAGAAGCTTAAAATTCATCTCTATTCTGTCTTCCAGTACCAGAGAAGTCATGGTATTTCATAACTGCTAAACTCATTTGATTCTGCTTTTGTGGTTCATCTGGATGAGCAAAGCAGTTAATCCTTGACTGGAGAAAATCACATTCAGTCTTTTTCCATCTCTTCTGAAGGGCAGGCTTTCAGTCTACCTTTGAGATTATAAATTCTGTGAATGATACATGTTCTTTTACAAAGCCACAGGAACTCGACTTCTGGCTTCCAGTCTTTATGTGACTGGGCAGGAAACAGCATTTTTTAAGATAGATCATCACATGTATTTGTTTCATTAATAATAGACTTGTGTATCTCTTTATTCCAGAGATCAGCCAAGAGACAGCTGTCAATCCTGTTGACATTGTTAGCACTCTGCAAGCCCTTCAGATGCTCAAGTACTGGAAAGGCAAACACCTGGTCCTAAAAAGACAAGTAAGAGTTTGCCTTGTAGTTTTGCATCTTTGTTTGGGAAGTTTGTGGGTACTCACTGTATGTTCTTTTTTGGGTAGGGGGGCTTCCTCTTCTGCCCTAGATTTGCTACATTGGAAAACAGGAGTCTGTATGCATTATCTGAACTGAGAAATCTTTTGCAGAACTCTTTTTAGTTTTCCTGGGAATCATAGCTGTCTGAATATTGTTGGGAGTCCAGTACTGGAGAGCTGAAGAGCTTTCCATTCCATCTTCGCTAAACATTATATAAAGCAAAATAAATTACTTACAGAATTTTTGGATGGCTGAAGAAAACAATATTTATATAGTGTCCCTATTTATCCTTTGACACCTTAAAGTTTTCACTCCCTATGGTTGTGATAGGTACTGGTTCCATTTCTTGTGTTTGCTTAAAAAAAACAAGACAGATACAAATTAGGAACTAATATTATAAAACAATGAATAGGAGAGGCATGACACTACAAATGGAGAAAATGAAATATAGATGGTACTAACTAAAGCTGTTCTGCTTCATTTAGAACTGGGTGTATATTCTTTCTTAAGATGGAAATTGCTTTTGACCTTTGAGTGGTATATTTGGGGACCAAATTCCAAGAGAAATTGGAACTTACCTAAAAAGGAATTATCTCCTCTTAATAGCTTTATGGGTACAGAGCAATCCTAAAAGAAAATCTCATTGTGTTTGTTAATATTAATTCTTCAATATTTTTTGTTTATATTTATGACTGCAATATTAATTGGTCTGCATAGGCTCTACCAAGAGCGAGCAGAAGATCAATCTTGTTTTATTTTTGTAACAAGCTCTGGGTGATTTGGAAGAATTGTTCAGGTTTCTGAGTCACAGAGTCTAATAATAGCAACCAAAGTACCTTCTCTTCTCCTGATAAACTTAAGAACAATTATTAGGTATCTGTATTTTTCGGAGTATAAAATGCACCTTCTCCCCCTCCCCCTTAAAAATGCGTGAAAATTTAGGTGCATCTTATAGGCCGAATAAGGGTATTTTTGGCCTCTCGAATGTTGCGTTTTCTGGCCCCCAGAAACACACTGCAGTGCTCCGCACAACCTGTTTTATCCAAAAACAGTTTTTGCCAAAAACAGACCCTTTTGGGGATCTCAACCCTCCATGCGTCGTCCTCAATCCCCAGAAGCACTCTGCAGGCTAAAAACAGACACGTTTTTGGCAAAAACAGGCTACGCGGAGCACTGCAGAGTGTTTCTGGGCGCCTGGGAGGGCGAAAATGCAATGCGCAGAGGCCAAAAACTATTTTTTTCTTGTTTTCCTTCTGTAAATTTAGGTGCATCTAATAGTCCGGTGTATCTTATAGTCTGAAAAATACCAGAAATGAAGTTGTATGTGGAACAAGCTGTGAGAGCAATTCAGTTCTAGAGTTCAGAACAAATTCTTGAGTTATAAAATCTTAAATATATATAATGTTTAGGTTTTGATTAAATAAAACAAAGCTGTTGTCATTCTGGTCTAAGACATTCTGACTTACAAACAAAATGGTCATTTCACCAAATCTGTGGTGACCATGGGAACGGAAAAAATGAATTATGACAAAATCAATACAAATGAACACATTGCTTTCTAAAACTTTCCTTCAGTACATTTTCTTCTTTTTTATTCAACTAAGTTATTACAGCTTCACTCTCTAAAACAGTAAATCTGAAATAATGTGGTATCAATTTTCTACCTATAACAAAAATACTGGAAAATAGGACTCTTTCAAAATTAATCAGAGAACTTTTTTTGGACTTACACGCAGGTTTTTATTTAAGAAAGCAGCACTATAACTGTCCTTCTGACATAAACCATGCATGTGTTTGTTTGTACATATAGGCAACTTTAATTACAGTTGACTCTAAGCAACATTTACTTCTTCAGAGCTTTCCAAAACAGCTGCAGGGTTGGTGCTGATCAGACTTCAGGAGGAGCACTGTGCCAAAGGAGACAAGCAGTAGCTCCCTTAGATTGAAATTTATGACATTACTAGTTATAATTATGTCTTCTGTAGATAAATTTCACCAAACCTTTAACCTGTCTTTCTTTTTCTCTTACTCTTCTCAGGATCTTATTGATGAATGGATAGCCAAAGAGGCCAAAAGGTGCAACAGCAATAAAATCATGGATCCTAGCTGTTTGAAATGGACCCCACCCAAAGGCACTTAATTAACCAGTCTCTCCAAGAAGTGTGAACATCCCATTCATGTGCTGTCATCATCACCACTGTGGGTACTTTTTCTTTTCCCAGCACTAGAAACATCCTTCCAGATCTTGGACATGTGATTGCTCTTGGTACCAGCTCTTCCCTTTCAGATATTTCTGCAGTGTTTTACTTTTTATAGAACATTTTTGAACAGACACCTTGTCTATGAGGCAAGATTGAAAAGATGAGAGTTCTGGACAATATTAACACGACCTCAAGAAAGTGCAGTAGGATTTAGTTGCTCCTCCATCAGTTACTTGTTCCTAGCACAAAAACTAGGGTTGCTTCTCACATTTTTAGTTTTATAACTTCTTAGCCCTCTGAGATGTAGTCCACCTATGCAATATAGTGGAATTGCAAATGTGATGGAAAGGATCATATTGCTTCGTTTTGCCAATTGGGGCAGAGAAAAATCAATTTTAAATTTCTTTGTTAAAAACAAAGTAAAGCTAGTGGGGCTAGGGGCAGACATTCTCATTAGTCCATTTCTATACTAGCTTTTATCCACATGGTTTTAGTAGGTAAGAGAGCACTAAAAAAAAACCCAGCAATCCTGTGCCTGTGTTCTGAAATGCTCCAATCTATTCTATTTGCCCTACATTTTCTTGCCATTCTGCTGCATGTGTATATACAGTCTAGATGTATGTCCGTGAGACTATTTCCTCACCACATGTTGACAAGGTACAAGTAAGAAATGATCCAGTGCTTCCTGGAATCCTGAATTGCTTCTGGATGTGCAAATCTCTCACATTTATTTGCAGAACCTAAAACTTTCTTGTTCTTGGCACCTGTGTATTCCAACATTGTCATCAAAATATTTTTCCCACTTCAGTCCACCAAGAGAGTTGATGGGCAAGGAAGCTCCAAACTGACTTTGGTTTCTGAGAATAGTAATGGTTTTATAATTTTGGATACAGGGTATCAGAAGCAATGAGTCAGCCCTCTGTGAATTGGATTTTGTAGCTGGGATAGTCAAATCCCCGATGGGGAGATATCAGACAGGAAAGATGTCACATTACCTGATCTTGATTGCATGCCGAATGGAAATACAAGATGCCATCACTTACTCTGTAATTTTGGACAAGTGACCCTCATGGCAGTTTTTGAATAGACTCTGACTGCCAATATATTTCAAGAGTCAATTAAATTAACTTTGTAGGGAAAAATTGCAAGATCAACATTTGAGTCTTGGCATAGCATCGCCTCTCTAATTTGGCATGGCTCATCATTTTGGATTAGTTACTTCAAGGGTCCTATGCTTGAAGCCTAAGGAATATACATAGAAACACATTTCATCAGCTGGTGGAGGAACACTGCTCTTTTTGCCAAATTATTCCTTTGCAGTATATAGCTATATACATTCGGCAGTTTTGTGATTTATTATTCAATTTGTGAAGCTGCTGGATATGCTAATGCCAGGCCTCAGGGCAATTCGCTGCAGCTGACTGAATGTAGTCTTCATGATGGCTTGTATTTTTTGGGCCTACATTGTCAATTTGCAGATTTTCCCTGCCAATGAGACTGCCTTGGTCTGATAATTTTCTTATCCTTTTTTCAAGCATTCTGTAAGGAGATTGATAGCTTCAGCTATATTGCTCCATAAATGAATGTTGAGAGTTAGCTCAGAAGTCACTGAGGGTAGGTGGATAGTTATGGGTATTTTTAAAATATTTTTTTATTATTTTACAAATGGAAAATAAAGTCTATTATACAAGGTTATCCAAAGACAAATTTTAATCTCATTTTAAGGTTTGATACCTGGAGGTTTATCATAATATGACTCCATTTTATTATGACATTAAAATTATCAGTTTTAATTGAAATTGTGACAAATTAAAAATAAAACTTCAAAACAACTATAATAGATCTCCAGCATCAGTTCCATATTAAGCTTTTTACCATTGTAAGTCAGGTGCTACAAGTATTTTAATTTGCCCATTTCTAAAACCCCGATCTTCCTATATTACAAAAGGAAAAAGAGGAAAAAACTGGCTAGTCTGCTACACTATTATCTGCCAGTTCCAGTTATGCATAGGTGGCAATGTATACTAAAGAATTGGCCTACCAATAGTCTTTATAAGCTTTCTTTCCTTTTTGCCTGTATTATTGGTGTGAAGTTATGTCTCAGCTGCTGGCTGTGTTTCTGCTATTTCTGTGCTGTATTGGGTTGCTCTACTGGCTGATCTTTTGGCCACAGATGTGCATGATATTATGCAGTAATATCCCAGTATTTGAGATGAGAACCTTTTTCCAAATGAGACATAGAGTAACCCGGCCCTGGGAATACACTTACATGCAACAGATCAAAGTAGCCGTAGTGGAGATTAACGGATGATGGTGCTCAGCCAGCTTGAAGTATGGTCTTTTACATACTGGGTTTTATCTTGAGAATGCTTCCTGTTCTGAGGCAGTGGTTTGTTTTTCTTCCTGGCATGGTGGACTATGCAAAGAAACAGCATGTTTTATTTGTTTGGGGACTGTAGAAAAATGGGCTCGTGTGTTCTGCACTCTAATTGCAGTTTCCACAAAAGTAGGAGTGTGGCTTTTAATGGTAAGGTTAGGTGACACATATGAAAAAATCCTGAAGATACAGTTATCCATACAGCTATGCCTTTCACTCCTGCCTAGCATGCAATTTTCAATAGTAGACACCTGCATGACATACAATCTGTTTTCAACTGAATATTTATTTAAGAATTGTCCTTTCGTCTCCCATCTTGAGAAAAAAATAAATAGACTTGTTCAATCTCCACCAAGGATTTTTAGATAAGAATTCCTACTTGTTGGTTCTTGTGTTTGGTTCTGACTTTTTATTGCCATCCTCAGTCTGCAGGATTTCTTTTTCTGAACATTGTCTGGCAATTGTTCTCAGCTTCTAGATTATTGCAAAAAATGGGGTGTAATGCTCTTTTTTGTGACAGAGGCTGGGTGTTCTTGTACAGAAGCAAAACTGTTTTCCTGGATATTTTAGAATATGCTATCAGTGTATCAACTTCTCAATAAAGCATGTTCTCTGCTCTCATTTTTTTCTCAAGTATTATTCTGAAAGGATTACGTGGGGGGAATTGACCTCTAAGCAAGATTTTCTAGACCACTACTTGCCATTTGAACCAATGTAATGGGTGGATTAAGTCAAGTCTTTAATTTGTTCTGCTTCTGTTGAATATTCTACATTGCACTCAAGGAACCAACAGAAAAACCATTTGGGAAGATTCATTGTTGGCTTTCAAGCACAGAGTTTGCATATGAAGTCTTGGCATGCAAGCTCCTTAAAACTCCTTGGAAAGTTAAGGAAATAAATCAGAAAATCCATATTAGTAGTTTGCTAAATGGATCAATTGTTAACTACTAGACAATGCAATTTGTATTGCATCTCTTCTCCACTGATGGCCAAGAATAACTCTGTAGAGAGACAGATGAAAGGTGTGTCTACTCCTTTTAAGGTCAAAGAATATGAATTGCCCTGTGATGAATCAGGAATGGTGTCAAGCATTGCCCCCTTCAATATTCAAGAAAGGAAAACCTTAACTCCATTTTAATAGAGATAAAGTACTTTTGCTAGATACGAAGTGAAAACAGCAAAAGGAAAGCAAGATTTGAGCCAGAAAGGAGGGAACATATACATATCAAATGTTTACCCAGCACCCTTCCCCCAATTCCCCAACCCATTGTCCAATCTGCAACTCCCTAAGGTGTCATGTGGGGTGCATCTTCAAACAGCCTCATCAAGTTGGTAATGCGAAACAGTTGGCCTTGACCAAACCCAAACATCAGCCACCAGCATGCGCAGAAGATGGTGAGAACAAAACTCCAGTACAATATAATTCCCTTCCCCAATACTATGCACACACACATACACACACCCGGTTCCTATGGCAGCTGATAGCAAGCAAGCGTAGCAAGCAAAACAGAGGCTGACATGGGTTCAGGACAAAAACAAGATTAAATTGCTTTTTGATAGTATACTGCCCAGAGCCAATTCGGTTGCTGCATAGGTAATGCTTGACTTACAACCATAACTGAACCCAAAATTTCTTTTGCTAAGCGAAACATTTAAGTGAGTTTTGCTCCATTTTACAAACTTTCTTGCTGCAGTTGTTAAGTGAATCAGTGCGGTTGTTCAAGTAGTTAAATTAGTAACAATAGTTGTTAAATGAATCTGGCTTCCCCAGCAACTTTGCTCATCAGAAGATCACAGAAGTTGGTGACATGACATCCAGAGTACTGCACCTATCATAAATATGAAACAATTGCCAACCAACCAATTTTTGATCATGTGATCCATGGGTGCTGCAATGGTAAGGGTGAAGAAAGGTCATAAGTCATTTTTTTCCTCTGTCGTTGTAATGAACAATCACTAAACAAAGGGCTATAAGTTGAGGACTACCTGTACCACAAATCATTTTAGTATTATTTTCCCAGTTCCCTTTTCCTTTTTGTTGTTTGCTGAAGAAAAAAACAAAGACAGGTCCAATTATTGACAAATAAGTTTTATCCTGTTGCTTTACAAAGGAAGGAGGAACATCTAACTGTAGGGCATCCAATATGCTATATAGCAAATAGTCAATAAACAGAAACAGACACCAGAATATATGTTGAGAAAGTGATGTATAAGAGGATTCCTCTTAAAAAAGATGTTCATAACAAGTAGTGGTTGCTGGACTTGAGTTGGGGAGGGGAGGGGAAGAATAAAACCAGAAGTCAGAATTAACTTAGTGTTGGCCAACTGATTTGTTGCATAAATAAAGAGAAAGCCATCTTCAACTTCATGCAGTAATTACAAAAATGTTAACTGAAAGTGGTCTAATAACATCAATTATATTTGTAAGAAACGGACATACTAATGATATATAAGCAAACAGCACAAATATTTACGTATGAAAATGATGAATGTAAACCATATTTTTATAATTAAAGCATTATGCAAACACCATCTACAAATTAAAAGCTAACAAAATGAAATCAAAGATTTATTACAGATCAGAGGCCTAATTTTTTTAAAAAAAATCATTCTTGGTATTCTCTTAAGTGGAATACCTTCAGAGTCAATGAAAAGGTGTGGGCTTTGCAAGCCATTTAAATAGTGGTTTATTTTCAGTCAGACACAACAGGATTCTTTCACATCATATCCACATAACTACAGACTTGGGGGAAAAAACATAGCCAGTATTCAGAGTGTTAGGAGTTTTATTTCTACAACATCTGGTGGATTGGGGGAATCACAATTTTCACTGAGCAGATAGGTAGCTTGCAGTTTGAGACCACATATTGCTTCCTTTTTCTTCATCCTAGGAGCCAAGCAAATCTAGAAGCTACTGTCAAAACAAGATGATGGTATTGAGACTTGACTTGTTTTTTTTACCTGCAATCCACATAAAGTTGGCCATTCCTTGATGAAGTGCTATATGTCCATAGTTGCTGAAAATTGACTACCGTACATAGTTCCTGCCATATTGAGGAATGATGCTCATGAAAATTGAACTATAAGCTCTGAAATAAGCATCAAAGCTGTGCAGATTTATAAGGGATAAGATATGCTTTCAAGCAAACAGAAATGCTCATCTTTCAACTCCTTAAAAAAAACAAGCTAGGTTGCTTAAGCTATTTGTGTAGACAATTACCCCATACATATTTATTTAATTTTTATCTTGCCTTTATTATTTTTACAAATAACTCAAGGCAATGAACATGTTCATTACACATTCCTCCTATTTTAGGGGACAAGCAAAGTCAGGTTATTTATGATTGGTGAATAATTTGAAAAGGAATACATATTTGCTCCATTCATTTTTCTATACTATAATTAGATTTGTTTAGTTTTGGCTTCTATGCTATGTAAATTCAACCACTGATAGGTAAAGTATGATTTAATGTTGCATCAGTGATGCATCTACCATAAGTCATGGTTTATTTATGATTTATTGAATTTAGTGTACTAAAACATAACTATATTTACAACTATATGTTTGATATCACATCACACAATATATTGAAAATAAAAAAAAAACTCACATGGTTTTGTCTAATGTGTACATTCAATCATGTTTTTCCCCCAGCAAACCATCTTCGTTTATCATAATAAGTGAACTCATCTATTGGTTTGTGTTTTTTTTTTTTGCTTCCCTCTGTGTGTATGTAATATCTTTGTGTAGGAGGTAAAAAGCAGGACTTTGAGCAGTCTTTGGTTTGGGAGGTTGCCTCTAAGGAAGTTAAAAATAGCTCCTGCAAGGAGCAGTTATTCTGGAAGAACATTTTGTTCTTTATTACTTTTTTAAATGTGAGAGGTTTATTTTTCCTTCCTGTTTTCTTAACCTCTTGCTTTTTCAATCCGCCTCGTTGGCATTGGTCAAAATTAACACCCCATCGATCTATTTGCATTACTGCAGCTAAATCTGGTACATTAGAAGTTTGCCAGGATGCACCTGGTTTTAAAATATTTTGCTCACAAATAAACTTTTTCTTTAAGTAAGAATTTCTATTAAACAAAAGTTTATTGCAATAATGCCACCTTATGTTTCCTAGTCACACTGGTTGATAAGGTCAGACCTTACGAAATAGAATTTTCTAGATGTGGAGGATATGACTACGTTACAGGGAGGAAAATTCCAACTGACCAAGTTTTCTGACAAGTGATTTCAGAAGCATTTCTAATTTATTTCAATGGTATCTGTTTGATACAGCACTAAATGAAAAGTCACTTTGAGACATGGATGTGGTTTGGTAATGCCTAGGCACATTCTTTGTTTAAAGAAATGAAGCATTAAGAAAAAGGGGTTACTGGATCTGAGACGATCTTCCTATTTTGAGGACTGAATTTATCTTGGAAATAGCCTTCAGGAAGGGTAGAAACAGTTGCAAGTGGATTCAAGGATTGGTTCAGGAAGTATTACCCTAGATTTATATTGGGTAAATATGAAGACAGACATGTATATAATAGAGTCTCTATAGAGATTGATATTTCTGGAGTTCTGATATTTCATTTTGCTTATTGTAGTTTAAGACAGATAAATCCAGTCTTCCAAAGTAGGCTTTCTTCATTTCCCTGGACCTCAGTTCTCAGAACTTCCCAAATTGAAAATTGTCTTATTGCATTTCTGGAAGGATTGCAGAATCAAAAACTTATTATGAATAAAGTCTTGCAGAATTTGGAT